ACTCAGAATGATTATCATGTACCAAGCAAACAAAAGCGGCAGAAAAAATTAAGTCACTCAGAACACATGAAAGAAATTTCAAAACAACAAGCAGTGGATGAGACTTCTGGCAGGGCTATTGTTAAAGCTTCATCATTTCATCCCTGCATCATCATTTCATTGCTTTCTTTTCATTCTTAGCCATTCCTAAACTAATTTTCATCTTACACTTCATGTAATCTTAGATCCTGTGACATGGTAATTCGTGAATCAGAAACCATGGCTCTGGTCCCTCTAGTTGCTAATTGGACTTTGCCTAAAGCTACTTTATTTATAAGAGACAGACATCAGTAGGAAATCCACTTAAGATAAAAGCAAAGCCAAATATGGAGTGTTTCCGCCCCTGATTTTAATCATTAGAATAGCCAATTCTGGTAACAGGTGAACATTTTGTTTAACTTAGAACAAATGGCCCACACCAAAATTATTTTGCTTTTCAAAATATATTGATTTAAAATACTGAGAGTTTTAGGAGTATAGCTCATACCTCTTCAAATGTAAGACACCATACCATACCCAGCACCAAAGTTCTAGTTACCATATACCCATCATTCAACCCCTCCCGTCAACTTACCACCTCCCCACCCACCCGCCCACCCACCCACACACTTTTCTCTTGTCTTTACCTCTTCTCTTCAGGTAAACACTATACTGTTGTCAGGCTCTAAAGGTTTGATTTATTTGTTTGCTTTCTTTTTTTTTTTGTTTTTTCAAAGATTTATTGATGCATATAAGAACTGGGGTACCAGCCAGAGGTAGAGGACAGAGAGGAGTCACCAGAAAGAGTGGAGAGCAGAACAGAGGCAGATTGACTGAAATAAACTGTTGAGGGGCACAGTGGGTGAGACAGGAGAGGTCTGATGCACCATGTGGGTCACCTCCCTGTCTGGGAATCAACTCGTGCTGCAGTGGTTACAGATAGCTTCATCGTGCTGCACTTTAACTTGTTGCACCACCAGGGAAGGCCCATTTGCTTTATTTCTGTATATTCCGCATATGAATAAAATCTTACTTTTTTTGTTCTCTTTCTGATTTATTTCACTGAGCATAGTCCTTTCAAGTTCCATTTACCTTGTCACAAATGGCAAGATTGCACCTTTTATAGCTGAGTAATTCACTGTGTACTTAGGCCACATCATCTTTATCCATTCATGTCGGAGACTAGCTCCAACTTTTGAGGTGTCTGGAGGCAGCACAGGCAGGACCCTAAGATGGGAAGGCGTCGGCGAGCAGAGATTCCAAAAGGGGAGACAGGAGCGGGTGCGAGAAAGACACAGGAGTCAGGATAGGGTGCAAGTCTTCCTGCCATTCCCTCAGCAGGTCTTTATTTATACTGTGTAGCAAGTAGTTAATTGTAATAATGCATAGGGTAAGTTAATGAGATATCTCCATAAAACATTCTCAAGGACAAGGGGAAAAAGCATTCATCTCTTAACAATTTATGGTATAATAGATTATACGTTTTGTGATAGTTATCATGTATACAGCTGTCTAGTTATCACTCAAATGAAGAGGGGTCTGGGAAAGGGTGAGCTTGTTAGCAAAAGGTTGTTAGGGGTCTTGGGGTAGTAATAAATTTTGTTAGCAGTGTTATCAGTGATTGTCTAAAGAAAAGCTAATGGCTAATTTAAGGCTAGCAGAGAGTAGTTAGTGCTTGTTTTAAAAATTAAGAGAAAGTTGTACAGTTGTATATCAAGCAACACCTGTGTAGTCAAGATTAAAATTTGTCCATTATGCCCTGGGAGCCTTATCTGAGGCTTGCTTTTTTATTTAAAGAAACCAAGGAAGTTTCCCAGGAGTTTTTATGTCCTGGGGTCTTATTTCTCCTGGGGCTTGCCTTTTGTCTCAGGAGACAGAGGAATTTCTCCTCCTGGGGCAGCTTGCCTGAACCAGGCAGCCACCTGTGTGGCTAAGACAATCCAGTTATAAACTGAATGTTGCTCAGACTATTTTGATATTATGTTTATACAAAAAAGGGAGGTCATAACATAAGTTAGCAGTGGACAGTCTGATTTTTCAGAGCTTATCCCCATCCACCCGGAATCTGTCAGACGATGGACGTTGCATAGCCTGTGTCACATTCACCCATTAAAAGAAAAAAAAAAAAAAACGGAAAGGGGGTGGCTCTGACACAGTTATAGCCAAAAATGCATATCTATTCTTTTCATATTTTTTACAAGTTATTAGGAAACAGGGAGTGTTATGTATACATAAATGTAATCTATCACAGGAGCCAAAGTCTTTGTGGATCATTGTATCCTCAGAACTGAGGTACTCAGGCATGTTTAATGAACATTTTAGTTTTAACAAAACAAGCATTTCATTGAGTTATTTAAAGGATAAAAGGCAGGTAGCTGAATTATTTCTTTCCTCACCCAAGGATACACCCCAAATCAGGTCTATGCAGTCATGGGCTATCCCCTTCCTTACACAAGGGAGATAGTCTCCTGTGACTCTGTCTCACAAACCTCATTCTGGGCTTTTGACTTCTAGGTGTGTGCCAGGTAAGTGCCTTCTCCATCAGCAAAAGAACTTTTTACTAAGGGCCTTTCCAGACATAGGCCAGACTTTGACTTACAAGGCCTACAGGAACAGAGAAATAATTTTTTAAAATTTATTTAAGGAAAGCCTTAAATCACATAAAAACCACCACTGACTTATTTCACTTAGGATTATCCCCTCTAGTTCAATCCACTTTTCCACAAATGGCAAATGTTCATTAATTTATAGCTGAGTAGTAGTTCATTTTGCAATCATCATCATTACTATTGTTTTTTTGGAATTTCCTTGTGAAACTATATCAGCATTTGAGCTTTAAAATGTACCCACTAGAGGGCTTTGTTTATTATCTTAATTCAGTATGAACTCACCTTTTTTTTTTTAATATTTATTTATTCATACAGAACTGGGATACAGGCCAGAGGCTCAGGGGTGGTGAGAGGCTTCACCAGAGACAGAGTGAGAGCAGAACAGGCAGATCGACAAAGTACACTGCTGAGGGGAGCAGCGGGCGGGTCAGGAGAGGTCTGCCACACCATGTGGGTCACCTCTGGGGCAGGTGGGGATCAAACTCATGCGGAAGTGGCTTTAGCTTCTTGATGCTCTGCTTTAACCTGTTGCGCCATCAGGGAGGACCTGAACTCACCATTTTTAATGTACAAAAGATGAGGTAAAGGAGAAGTAGGACGTGTAGAATTTCTTCCTTTTTAACCCCAGTTGAGGGATACTTACTTAATATCTTTGTTGCTAGGGGATCTACCATTAGTATAGGTATCATATCAGGAAGCTCATGTCCCCAGATTACCCTAGGCTGTGTCCCTGAGATATTCAAGTGGAACTAAAAGTCTATTTCACCAGATCTCTTAGTCTCATTTGAAAGCTTGTGCTTGCACATCTGCTCCCAGCTCGCCTTCTCAGTAGGGAGAAAACAGTGGACACGTGTCACGGAAAGCTGTCCAGCTGCAGTTGAAGCTATTTACTTTTATTCTCTCTTCAAGTGGAAAACAGTTTATCACTGTTTTCTATCTAATAATCTTGAAAGACTTTTCTATCACTGATAAGAGTGTTTTTTTTTTTTAAAGATTTATTTATTTGTGCATACAGAACTGGGGTACAAGCCAGAGGCTCAGGGGCAGCGAGAGGCTTCACCAGAGACAGAGTGGGGAACAGAACAGGCAGATCGATGAAGTATACTCCTGAGGGGAGCAGGGGGAGGGTCAGGAGGAGAGGTCTGCCACGCCACCTCTGGGCTCTGGGGCAGGCGGGAATTGAACTCATGCAGAAATGGCTTTAGCTTCTCAGTGCTGTGCTTTAACCCACTGCGCCACCAGGGAGGGCCTGGTAAGAGTGTTTTAAAGCATCCTTTTTTTTTTTTTTTAAACTTTCATTTGTTTAGCTTTCCAACATTTCAATATTACTTCCCTGACCATTTGTTGATTATTTTTTCTTTTCCACCTCTCTTCATTTTTCTCAAATAAGAACATACCAAAATAAAGGACTAAAGAATGTGGCTATTTCCTCTGAGATAACAATAGACAGGAGTTTATTCTCATACAATTAATGAGTAACTGGAATCATGTTTAAGAGCAAAGACAAGAGCCTACTTGTCTAGGTTTGATACTTACACCCGTCACTTTAGCAGCTGAGGAAGTTGCATAGATTAACTTCCCTGTGCCTTATCTTCCTTAACTGTAAAATGGAGATGATGACAATAATATCTCCTTCCATTCAGGGTTTAAATTAGTGTAACATATATATATATAGTATTAAGAACAGTACATGCATATCAATTATTTATCTTATTTCTCAAAGTCAAAATTTGATTATGGGAGCCATTGTCCATACTGGTTATTTATCCTGAATTCTAGATATTTTGTTTACAGTAACTTAAAACACCCAGCCCATCATACTGGAAATTTGATATTGATTACTTTGGTTTTTTTCTCTATAAAATGTGGCATGCGTATATTTCTTGCTATGATTCATTTTTAAAATTATCATTACCTGATTGCCTAGAGTGTTTAAGTTGTTGTAAAAAGGAAGAATGAAGTTTCTGTGTCATAGCTATAAATAGGAACCAGCAACAGTCTTGGGTGTCCTGGAGCTTAGTGATTTCAAGGGATATGGCTTTTTTATTCCAAGAACAGGGAACATCTTGGGCAAACTTGGATGGCTGGTTCCCTCTGGCTATAAAGATACTACATAAAGTGGGCCTGTAACTGGGAAAGGAGGAAGGAGCAGTAATATTAATTTCATTTAATACAAAAAATTAATACACCACCATTGTTTCCTTGATTTTTGACTCATGCAGTCCCTGATGAGAATCCGAAATGAAACCAATTAATTCTAAATGTCAGGCATTTGGGCTTCATTTTTTGCTATCATCTTCCTCTGTAGAATATATTTCTTCTTTATGCTGTCCTGCCTTGCTCTGATTGCTTTTTGCCTGTTCTTTTTTTTAGGTCAACTCAGATCAAAACATACTCTTGGGATAATGCCCAGGTTATACTGGTTGGGAACAAATGTGACATGGAAGATGAGCGGGTCATTTCAACCGAGAGAGGTCAACATTTAGGAGAACAGCTCGGTAAGCAACACATTAACATGTTAGCCATGAGTACAACTTGATAATTATTTGTAACAGTCCCAGCTAATTGCTTTAGTGGCTTTACTAAAACCAACTCTTGCTCTGCAAGTAAGTAGATTTCCTCCTACTTCGTGTGGTATTAAAATCCAAGCATAATTACAAAAGCAAAGTAGATAGCCGGTATATTGACCTAGCGCAAGATATTTGAGTTCTCATTTCATGTGAAATACAGGATATGCTTTGCCTGCCCTTTTTGTGGGATTTTTTTTTAATTCTTCACAAACAGTAACTGTATTGAGTGAGCACCTTATTTTACTGTGTGATGACTGTTTTCCAGTTTGCGTAGGTGGAAGGTATGGCAGATAGATTCTGATTCTATGGACACCATTCACTTTAGTAGTGTCACAAAACCTCTTTGAGACTCTGTTTCCTCTTCTCTCAAGAATGAGCTTCATAACCCATGCCCACTTTATCACGTCCTTGTAGATAAGATCAACTGTGACAAGCAATACATACGAGAGAGCTTTGGAATGACAAAGCCATTTCAAACACAAAACACTGTATCTAAAGAGAAAATTGTTGCTATGAGTTTTGAGTGCTAAGGAGGAGGTTTTGATTGGTTGACTGACTCAGAACATTTTTACTGCTCACCTGATATGTTCCTCACACTCTGCCAGAACTCACAGAGCACAGGAAGCAGGAGACCCACAGTCCCTGGGCCCCCATTGCTGTCAATCAAATGGGAAGACTAGGAATATAAACAAGCAAGCAGAAATGACAACAAAAACAGGATACTGAGGAGATGATAATGAAACAGATGCCAAGAGGAAAGCCCCTGGAAGAGGAGGAAAGTATACAGGGAGAGAGAGGTGCCAGCAGGAATGTGGGAGTAGAGTGGTGTGGAGAGGCAGGTAAAGAACAACGCAGAGGAGACATCGGTAGAGAGGATGTGCAGAAGTGAGCAGAACAGCTATGAGGAGGTGCCTGATCAGAGAAGATAGAGACTATGTGGGTTAAGTGACTAGATGAGGTTTGAATGATCCCCAAAGGAGAGTAGAATGTGAAAACCACAAAGATGAAAGAATGTATCCCAAGGAAAGGGCACATGAGAACAAAGACATTGAGAGGATCATTGAAAGGAAAAGTTGGAACCTCTCATAATCGTGGAAGTGTAGAGCAGTGGTGGACACAACTCCAACCCTAGAACAAAAGACCTAGAACTCTTTCTCCCTGCCCCATTCTCCTTCACAGACAAAAAAGAAGGATTCTTGGAAGGATATTCCTTTCCAAGCTTTATGGGCAGAACCTATAGTAAGAAATCCACTCAACCCACGATTCTAGGGGCTACATAAAAAGAGTACAAGTTTCACAAAATCCATTTTCCCTTATTCCGGGGGGCCTTGACCAGCAAGGCGAGGGAGCAGAGCCCCAGGGACAGTGCGAGGAAAAACGCGGACACGTCTTTCGCTGAGGAGAGCTTTATTCTTCTTTTCCTAGATAGGCACTAGCATGAGGGCGAGCATGAGGGCGGTACAGAAAGTACGGGGGGGGGGGGGGGAGAAGGGGCGGGTGGTCTTGATGGTTTGATGTCTCAAAGGCCAATGGGATTGAGGGGAGGGAGCTGTTGTCATCTTAAGGAAGTGGACACTTATCTCGGGAGCCAGAGATGAAACCTATCTCAGGCACCGGAACTTGCTGAGCACGAAGGGAGAGGGAGTGGGGAAGGGATTCGGGTGTGCTGTTTTCTCAACCGGGATGTTTACCCTAAGTTCCGATCAAGTGTTGTTTTGTGCATAGGAGGCAAGGTCCTGGTCTCGGTCCCCGACACCTTATTAGAATAAATTCATTTTTACATTTTTTTCACCTTTCATTTCTTGCATTTTTCTATATTATTGGCCTGAACACACTAAATTTATCCTAGGACCCTATAATAGGGCTCAAACTACAATTTGAAAAGATCGCTCTCGAGGAGGTGCTTTGGCAATACCCTGCAGGTAACTGCCTCTCAGCCTAGTGAAGCACAGACCCCTCCCATGGCTTACTTTTTCACTAGGATCTAATAAATGAATGCTGTACATTTGAGTCTGAGAGACTGATTATTTGTCGAGATTAATGAGATCACCTGACTAAAGACTATCACCTAAGGAGCAGACGAGCTGTTCCACCAAACATTCTTCAGCCCACCTTGGACAAAGTCACACAGTTGATGTCTGGTCTCTCTGTGACTGTCCTTCACCCATTATCATCTCATTTATAGGGCCACTCCCCATTTTATCAATTTATCCATTTTCTTAAAAGTCTTAGAAACATGGCAGTCTTCCCTTAGCACTACAATAGTCCTCTTAGCACTGCAGTACCAGAGAATAGAAGCTCCTGGAAAGAGGAAAGGAAGGAAACCTGGGAGGGTTGGCAGGGTCACTTTCTGAAAATACCCCTGTATTTTCTTGCATGGTGTGGTGAGGAGGGGGGCTGCTGTACGGATGCCCCTTGTCTCCATATACACGTCATGAAGTTGTTTGGTCCAAGAGGAAGATAAATTGTTAGTGTCATCGGTACAAACGAGGCATGTAAAAGGCTGCATTTTTTACTATTCTGATACATCGCTTGGTTATTGAAAAGAATCAGTTATGGAAGAAATGTTAGAATAGTGGGGAGGTACCAAGAACTCTGCTGACGGACACACACAGACCCTTTTCAGGCAGTACATAATATTGGAAACTTCCTGAACTGTGGGGCAGACGTGTTTTATGCTCCCATCAAAGTTCTTCCAGTGGTTTCAAATTGATTATTTGCTCTCTGTTCAATAAAACCCAGCAGTTGTCATAGCAACCCACACTTGTGCATTCTTGGAGAGTCATTTACCTCCTTTAATGTGGTTGGTTTCTTGAATACACATTTCCATAAATGATAATGAGAAGTCCTTTGTAGAGAAAAAGAAGTCTTAATTTAAAGATTTTAAAGATCTTTGCTTTATTTTTATAGAACTCCTTTGTCCGGAATACCATCGCATACAGAGGTTGGGCACTATTTTTAAGTGTCATTCCCACCTTAGCAGATGGCTCAAATCACGCTTTATTGATTTGGTGACCATCAAGTCTCCTTTGCAGATGATTATGGGCATACAACGTGTGCCCAGCCTAATGAGGGTACTTGATGGAACTCAGCTATAGCCGAGCTCCTTAAAATTCTTGTATGGCAGCTGCCCTTGCCAATCCAATTCAATTCTCCATACATTTAAGTGTCTGCAATATGCCAGAAGCTCAGAATTTGATGATAAATAACCCTACCTTCCAGGAACAATTACTATGTGCTTGATAGATTATATAGATAACGAGCATGATTTAGGCCTGCCTTGTCCTGGTCATTCTGTTGCCCTTGGCGCTGCTGGGCATGCTCTTCTTGTCAAACCTCGGTGAAACCATGCTGCGCTAGGTTCTCTTTCCTCGCCAGCCAAGCCTTCTGTTTCCTTAGGATACACCTCCTTCTGCCTCTTGCACTTTGGTTTTCCTGTCGACCTATCACCCCCCAAGGTTTGAACTCTCTGCTTTGACTCATTACTGCCAAATCTTGTCCAAACCCCAACCTCATGGAAGCTTTAGGGCTCCTTCACCACCTGTCTGCTGTCACACTCAGTTTCTCTAGCACCAAGGGGGCCTCTGGCCCACTGCGAGGGAAGCAGCAGGGGTTCTTGCCAGGTGTTTGGGCTCCCAGCCTTGGACCTGCTGTGCCAGAGTGTCTAAAGTTGAAGTATAGGAGTCCACAATTTTTTTTTATTTAAAGATTTTTTTTTATTTGTTTATGCATACAGAACTGGGGTACAGGCCAGAGGTGCAGGGGCAGTGAGAGGATTCACCAGAGACAGAGTGGGGTGCAGGACAGGCCGACAAAGTATACTGTTAAGGGAGGGGAGTGGCGAGCGGGCCAGGAGAGGTCTGCCACGCCAGGTAGGTCACCTGCAGGCCAGGGATCGAACTCATGCTCAAGTGGCTCTAGCTTTTTAGTGTTGTGCTTTAATCCATGAGCCACCAAGGAGAGCCCAGGAATCCACATTTTTAATAAACATGCTTTAAATTTTCTCCTTCAGAACACTGGTTTAAATGGTGGGAGTGTTTGGAGAGGTCAGGGAAATGTCCTCAGAGCTGAACATTATCCTCTAGCTGAGATTATTCTTCCTGTGCAAGTTTTTTTTTTTTAGTCATTTTCTAGAGGCAAATATTTTTTATTACAAAGTTTATTTTTACATCATTTTGCACATTTTTTTTTTCCATCTCGATTGTAATCCCCGCGGGTTTCCCATCACCAAATCA